AAAGCCATACGTGCGATCTACGATGCTGAGAAAACCGCTGATTTCCAGCTCTAAGTACACACAAGCCTGTCATCATACAAAAAGATACTCATGGCTCTACTGAACATGAGAGATATACAAGATTGTAAATAGAGATCTTCATAAAGAATTCAATAAGGCTTTTGTTGATAACGTACTGCTTATTACTCATTGAATGCAACATTTTAAAGCATACCGGGACGGCTCTGCTGTAATGCAGGCTACAGGTAAGCGTTCACGTGGCTAGCCATTATGTTCTCTACAACTCGGGCTTAAAAGGAATCAAAAGGTGCCTCTGGCTAACTCGTGGGTTAAGTATTTTAGAAATCAAAGCCGATGATCAACTTGCAATTAGTTTACCGGTATTAGTCTGTCAAAACATGGGTCGATACAATGCAAAATCTCTCTCAACAAAGCTAGGGCTTAGTTAGCCGTTTATGTTGGACACATTTTACGACAGAAACCATGAGGAGGGGCTTGGACTTTTGTGGCTATTCCAGGAAACATATGTGACAGTAGGTGCCTATATGAGGCTAGAGCCTCCTTAGAGAGCAGTATTGTTTACCCACCGCCGTATTGAGTTTCCTGTCTTAAGGCAGTGGCTCATCCCTAGTTCCCTGTCTAGTAATTTTTATCATTTTTATGCCTTAAATTAATTCGCATTTTTCCAGAAATCTCTCAAATGTTATATCTTCACCACATATCATTTCCCCTGATTGATAATTTTTGCATGTTATACTACTTAAATTGAGTCATTACTAGTTTTCGCACATACGAATCATAGCAAAAAAAGCTTTCTTGCATTTCTGGTATTGTCTACGTTAGTTTTACCAGTTATTGGAACAAACTTCAGAAACTTAGGCCTGGTTCAGACGCCGTACTTTTCATGTGTCGATCCTAATTGATCAAGTCGCTGTGGGAGAGTATACCTGGGCGTCGATATACTAGGCGTGTGTGAGGTTATTTTATGTGTACAGTGAAACCTGTATTAAGCGGACACCGTATTAAGCGGACACCCTCTATTAAGCGGACAGAAGCCGAAGTCCCAAAATTTATTCCCCTTATTTTCTTTACATGACACCTTTATTAAGGGGACACCTCTATTAAGCGGACGCGGACACCTAAAAAGTACCTGAAATAGTCATCTCTATAGTTTCCAACCTGTATTAAACGGACTCTTGTAATTAAATTCCACCACCCAACATGTCAGACACCGGAAATGCGAAAGACTGCCACCCACAAATTTTCATTTTTAGCTTAAAAAACGTGACTTGACGAACTTATTTGATCAGTTTCAGAGTACAGTTATGTTTTCTATTTCAGTTTGTTTGTATAGAGCTTGTTTCACTCATCTGATTCTTCAAATTTGAGTTGCAATTTATGTTTGTGGTACTTTGATCAACTGGTCCACTTAAATAAAGAAATTGCATTGATGCAAACGTATATCGTCATAGCCTCTAGGAGTATTCTAAACGTTTCCACTGTTCATTTGAATGGCATTTAACACCTAATATGAGGTTATCTATTGAAGCCTGTATTAGGCGGACACCCTGTATTAAACGGACACTACAGCATTCCCCGAGGGTGTCCGCTTAATACAGGTTTTACTGTATTAGGGATGTGTGAGTATGGTGCAGTAGCGTTGTATATTTTAGGGGTCAGTTGAGATGCGTGAAGGGGAAGGCGTGGAGTTATATTGGACGTGAATTTGTAAGATGATGGCTGTAGTTTGTTGATCAGTGAAACTTGTTTCTCGTAGAATTTAATATGATGTAACAAAAAAAATTATTTTGGGAGGTAAAAGTTATTTTTGGTGTTGCAGTAAGGTAGTTGTGGAAGTGCTAATTTGTTCATGAAGGGATAGTGTAGTTACAATGTGTTGAAATGAAGTTGTGGAAAGTGTTATCAATAGTCGAAAACGTACTTGTACGAATTTTAAACGTCGTTAGCCTTCCTTTAATAGTTTGTTTCACTCAGTGTACCTTGTTTTTCCAAAAAATTTTGTTTTCGATTGCAGATTTGTTTGCGGTGCGTTATCTGTGGGTCGTATGTAACCAAGATAAATGCTCTGTTGTGCCGCAGCGCGCGGCAGACATTCGCGTAGCTTGGCTTGTTTACGTTCGCACGTATGCGTGCCTATTGGAACTTTGAATCAAAACAAGCGGTCTCGATTACTCTATTTGGCGAACCCAAATAATAAGTTGAAGCGACACTGGCGCGACATCTGATTCAGATGGGGCACCATGTTTCGAGCCTAAGTTAAGTTCGACAAAAGTTCTACAGACTCTGTCGAACTTAACCCTTTTGCGGCACTAAACTAAAACTGCCGTACCAAATTGGTTCAGACGCCTCTCTGTTCATCTTACTATTGTGCTGTTGTGTGACCGTTGTCTGACTAGGTAAGAGTGATATTGTACCGCTGTGGCAGAGGAGACACATGAAATGGAAATGGCAGATGTGGTTCAGTATTTCCATAATAGCAGTAAGTGTGGCTCTAGTCTGTTATCAGTTGTGGTTAAATCGATCATCGGTTACAAAATGTGATGCTAACAAAATACACTAAGGCCTAGACGCCGCTCCACTCATGTGCCGAACCTAGCTAACGTTCCGATGCTTATGCAACTTTATTCCTACTAGTTATATGTTCTATGGTTTTGCATCATGATCGTCAATTGTGCAGCCAATGCTTGGCGTGCTTACAATACATGTTTCCTTCAAGAAGTGCTCGCTTAACAGTATTTCTCATTAAAAAATAAAACTCATTCTAATCAACGCTTAAAACATTACCATGAGATTACTCATTTTGAGGTTAGTTTGCAGCAAGCTTGAAGTTATTTACCGGCTTGATAGCTTCGAGAGTTCATGAAATTCTGTCTCCAAGTTAGCCATAGTGGTAATTTCAAACATTCAAAGTCAACATGAAGACAACTTATCGTCCTACAAAAGCTACAAAATCAAAACATCGAAAGCACTGGGCTCAATGCACGCTCAGCACTTCTTTATCGCGGGATCGAGCAACGACTATTGTCGTTTTTTGATATCAGGCGTTTTAGCGCGGATCCGACTGATTACGAAAGTGTCTACACCTGAGTGATACATTTGCATATCGCAGTACCCATAATAGCCCGTTCCTACGCTGCAGGTAATCTACGAGTTAAATGTCTAGCTACGCCCTTGGTAAATATCAAGAATTAAAAGCTTCATCTTTATAACAGCTCATTGACGATTTACGTAATGACGAAATAATGCAAGAAGTAACTTCAGACTAAAAAAGTGCGGTCAAGATTCCAATTCGTGTATTATACCACATGGTTATAACGTGAGAATGAAGCAAATAGCTTCAAAGCGAGATAAATTAGCGCGACGAAAAAAAATGGCCGCCATTGTGGATTATGTCCAACAAAATTAGAGGACTGAAATCAGATGAAGAACTTGTTTAGGGGAATCGTCATGGACGTTCTGCAGTGCAAGTTATGGGATATCGTTCTGGAGGAAGTGGGTCAAACGCGGCTGAAAAATTCCTTCACCAACAGCATATCCATAACGACTGCATGACTGCATGCGGGACTAAAAGCGTTGAAAAGGCTCAACATGAGAAATGAACTCGTTGTCAAGCCGTCCAGGTCGTTTGAATGGGTTCACTATCTGCCGAGCACGATCATAGAGCTCTTTACATTTCTTCATTTCACCCAAACGCAAGTACAGGTCACTAAAATTGAACAACAATACAGCTACCAACGGATGCTTTTCTCCTGAGACTCTTTCCCTGATACCCAATGCTTTTTCAAAGCACTCCTTTGCTTGTTCAAGCTGATCATTATATTGGTAAGCAAGAGCTAGATTATTATATGAATCAGCAATGACGGCATGATCATGATAGAAAAGCTTCTTTCTTATTTCCAATGCCTTCTCCTGATATTGAACTGCCTCCATCTTGAGGCCAATTTGCTGTGCAAAATTCCAAGATTGTTCAAAGAGTCTGCAATACAAGAGTGTTCTTCACCATATATTTTTTTTTCTAAGAGCATGTGAACTTTGGAAATACTCCTTTGCAGTTTCCAAGTCGCCCATCACACAGTCGATGCAACCAACATTCGCAAGTGAGGCTGCAACTTCAGGATGCTCAAGACCATAAAACTCTTTCCTCATGTCAAGGGATTGCTGGAAGTAATATTTTGCCTTTTCCATATATGAGTTGTCATCGTAAAAAGGGGTAGCCAACTTTCAAGGCTCGAGACCGTATTGTTGCAACACGTAATCTCGTCTTTCGCGTTGTCTATCAGCAATTTCCCTGTAAGAAATTGTGTAGTAGAGAGTTCCCAGTTTGTTCAGTGAGTCTGCAATTTCTGGAAGGCTGGTGTTTGGTGGGTGTAGTGCCCTGAGAATATCCAGAGCACGTTTGTAGTACAGTTCAGCCTTTTCATACTCGTCATTTTCATGAAAAATCAGACCTTGGTTGTTTAAAATTGTGGCGATAAAATTGATTTTGTTTTTATCGTCACTGTCATAACCATCTTTAACTATTTGCAAGGCTTTATAGAAATACCTCCCAACCTCTAACAAGAAAAAATGTTTCCTACAAATATCCCCAAAACTGAAAAAAGTACTTGGCAGTGCATTTCTTTCGCTTGTTTTCGCCAAGACTAATTTCCAAACAAGAAAGGGCTGATGACAAAGGGTTTTCAAACGAGGAGCCATCATTTTTGAGGTCATATGAAAGTTTAGGTTAAAGTGGAGAGGGTCATGTTGGGCAGAGGTGGACAGTGTTTCGATGTATAACAGAATGAATTCTGCAATCTGCTCCTAACTATACTTATCAAGAATGTACTTCCGAAAGACTTTGTGAGCAACTTGATGCATGTTGACTTGTACCTTTGAACTGTCATCTGGGTAATATTGCATTAGCAGGGACCATTTCACGATTTTTGCAGCTGCCAAGTCTTCATCGCAATCTGGATCTTGCTTTGTAAGATAGCGGACAATTAAATCCACATGTACAGGCGTTGCTGCACCCAAACAAGAAATGAAACCACTTGTTCAAAAATTGGCTCCTGCACTAGCGTTTTCAATGCTAAGGTGACAGCAGCGATCATAGAAGATCGGTAATACCTGCTTGTCCATTCATAAGCTTTCTCTGTGGAAGCTCGCCTTTTCAGTGTTTCTAATTTCGCTAAGTAATCTTCCCAAATGTTTCTAGAACTTGTCTTTCGGTCCACTCCAACGTAACCAAGATAAATTGCAGCACAGGCAATAGCCAAAGGCTGATAGTCCAAAGCATTCAGGACTAAGGACTCTTTTTCACTATGACAGGAAAGCTGGCAAATCTTTCGCAGTAGATTCCTGGCATCTTCAGACTGCATTCCCTTACTAAGAGAAACACTTTCACAAAGGGGATCAGCTTCAGCTTGGGTGATAATGTCCTGGGTGGTTACCAGAACATGTCCACAACCTCCCCAGTGTTTATTAGGCAAGTAATCTCCACGACCCAACCAGTCGTTCAAAGTCAAGATATCTTCTCTTCCTTTAAACTCGTCAACATTGTCATACATGAGTAGCCAACTGGAATAGTTTGTCATTTTAGCAGAAATAAGGGTTTTGAGATAACAAATCTTTTCATTGGGTAACAAAACTGAGTCCCCTCCTGTGATGTTGTTAAGGGAATACTCGGTGACACCAACTTTGAGGGTAAACTTGTAGTAAGAATCTAGCAAAGACAGTTCACTTTCAGCATTTAAGGTCATTACAAGGGTGAAACTATCATGGTCGTTTTTATCACATTCTCTTTGAAAAAACTGCCTGCCAACTTGACTGGCAACTTGACTTTTGCCACATCCCGGATTACCAGAGATACAAATCGTAACAACATAAGCATTCTTGTTGTTCGTCTGGAGATCTGAGAATTTCTTCATGATGTCTTCAACTTCCACCTTCCTTTCAAATATTTCGTGTGATGGCGCCTGTGGAAGAGTCATGAAAGGTTTAGGTTTACCCTGTATCTCATCTTCCAAAACCTTCACCTGTTCTTGAAGTTTGTGAAGTTCCCAGGTGGGAAAACATTTCTGGTTGATTATTCTCTGAAGCTCTACAGTGGAAAGATGAAGGGACGTGAATGCATTTGACAATTTGGATACACATCTCTGAAACTCTGTTTCAGGAAAAGAAGCTTTAGAACGATGTGCAAATACTTCATTACGGAGCATTTGCAAATCGTCTACATCTTTAGCGACTGCTGGACTTATTACAGTCCCCAGCGTGTTAGAATAGAGAATTGCGAAGAAAAAACATGTGCGATCCCATTCTTCTGTGTTTCCATTTTGAATGATAGTCAAGAGTCTTGAATTTTTTGAACGACTCTTTTTTGATTCCATTCGAAAGAAATCCTGCCCATTTTTTGCAGAATCTTGCCATAAACCAAACCTGGCACTGTAGTGTCGGTTCTATTCACGTTTAAACAGTTCTTTCAGACCTTCCCGGATGACGTGGGTGTCCTCTTCTGTGTATTCTTTGTTGGCCATTCTTCAACTCGAATTTCCCCGGATTTCTTCTGTCAAAAAAGATTTATTCAATTAAAATTATGTCTCCATAAATGGTCTCCTTGTAATATATATATTAATGCACGTTTGGAAACAAGTACGCTTTATACCTGTAAAAGATGTCAAAATAAGTTTCGTTACCCCTGGTGACTAAGTGCATTTTTTTCACGAAAGACATATCATCACACAGTAACCACTTGGGTATAAACGGGCTTGCTTGGTCACAAACTACAGATAGGCCTCTAACTGGCATGCTCTTACCTTCCGCGAAGAAAGCATCAGGGCTCAAAATACGGGCTGGTCAATGGACAATGTCCGGTCAAGATAACCATTTGTCCGGACAAACTGTTTCTCCCTAAGTAAGGGAATACAGATTCCGGAACCCGGGAACATTTTGCTTTTGTGGAATTCGGAATCCTGCGCTTTGGGATTCGAACTATTTGAATAAAAGCAGCTTATAATGTTCTAATGGTTCTGTCAATTCTAAGCCTACCCATCCCCCCTCCTGGACATTTGTCGGGCACTTGTCATCTTTCCGTCTCAGCAACAGGGAAGCGATAGGAAAACCCTATGCATGGGGGTGGGGCATTATAGTCTTGAGGCGGTTGACTATGTCCCTTTTTCAATAGTTTCGCTTAAAAATATGCCTATTAGATAGCTATAGATATTTCTATAAAGGGTATTTACTTTGTAATACATATGCTTTAAAATTTAGATCTCCGGAGGTTGGCATCTATGACACTTACTTGCTGACATTACTTTATTCCTACAGATAATCGAAGATAATGTTTCGTATACGTAAGGTTTTTTTTGACAGTTTAAAGATTTGTAGGTTAATTCAAGAGACGGTAAGCCATGAAAGTTCTCCAAACTAGTTAAAATCAGTACCTTGTTGGTTCACTGTTTTGCCAGGAGCTCAGAATGATAAACCCTTATTAATACTTAATGCAAGATAGTCCGACCGGTTTTATTGCACCAAATAGGCAAAAGGTCCTGAACCAGGACAGATGGCTGCCAAAAAAGCTACCCCGGGAAGCAGTGAGGACTGTGCCGTGAAGGGATTCTGTATGGAACTGTGGAACGTGCTGAAGCTAGTTTTTGCGAGAGTGCAGCTAACGAGTCAGCCAGTGTCCTAATACAAAGCTGATAAGTGTTGTTGGGCCAATGGCCCATTGATTCAGAATCCCACTGCGAGCAGCGCCAGTGGCAGCTCCAATACGAAAGCTAGGGGAGAAGGAATTGCCCGGTATCTGAGCTGAAGTTATGATCTGCCTAAGCCAATCTGTAAGAATACTGCGGGTGAGAGGCTGCCATTCACAAACAAAAACAAGGGGCCAGAGGAATACCCCCTAGGAGCAGGGAATATCATCATAGCGGGCACGGCATAGAGAGGATGCTTGTCAAGGCCAATGTGAATGAAAAGAGCCTTTCCGGGACGGGTCTGTCTTGGAGCCCTTGATTCGTATGCGCAAGGACGATGCAGCCAATGAAGAATCCACTGCAAAGTCCTGGACACTCAAGTGGAGGGATGACAAGTAGCTAGATAGGTTAGGTACCATGAACTCAGACGCACGCAGGAAGCCTAAGTACCCCAGAAACGAGCTGCCCAGAACATCTGCTGATCTGGAGGGCCGAGATCCAAAGACTGCGAGATAACTAGCATCAATTAATCTCATCCCTTATAAGCAGCCGCATGGACGAAAGAGTACCCTGATAGCGCTTGATGCCATGAATGTCCCTCTACAGGCGGAGACAATCTGCAAGCAGATACGAGCACCCCTGATCCATGTGGAGAGCTCTAAAGCCTGATAAATTAACCTTAATCAACAAATGCTGGAGAGACCTGGCCAGAACCATAACAATTAGACAAAGCGTCCATTCGTCCATTAAGCGTGGAGACCTTGATGGGTGCAAGTTGCCAAGCTGTCAGCAGAAGGAAATGAATTTCGCTTGGGCTGACGCATAGGAATGGCGAATCAAGGGAGCCAGGCCACGAGTACGAAAGGAGTAGCACTGCTGTTCTAAATCAGGGAAGTCAAGTCGGTAAGCAGGACGAGAGGACTCCGCATCGAAGTTGGACAAGGCTGAGTATTTGGCGCCAGCTGCCTGGATTTCTGCCAACGACAATGAGAGCGAGCATCAGCACTCTGATTCGTAACGCCTTGCACATGTTGGGAGAAGTGATGAGGTACCACTGCGAGCAGCAAAATGCGAAGCAACCGCATTGAGCAGGGAACTTTAGAAGTCCTAGCATTCGAGAAGTGGACGACAGCATCGTGGTCAGAGCGAAAGAGTACATGCTTTCAGCTCCAGTGGTGGCACCAAAAACGTGGGAAGCAATTTCTGCTGGGAACAGCTCCTTATAAGCGATAGATTGTTGCTGCGGAGAAGGAACCCGGGACCCAGAAGCCCTTTAAGAACATTCCATAGCCCAGTGATCCAGCTGCATCCAAAGGAACTGCCACATCAGCTTTAGGGGGCAAGCCTGGAAGGAGCCAAAAACTAACCCCATTCCACTGTGACAAGAACTGATGCTACCAAAGCAAGTCCAGATGACACTCCCTGTTGAGGCTAATCAGGTGATCCTTCTTGTGGAAGCAGCACAAAAGGTCGATCATGCAATGTAGGAAGGCTCTGCCTGGCCACACCACATTGGCAGCATAATGTAGATGGCCAAAGACGGACTCCAGTTTGCGTCTGTTGTACCACCTACGCGGAAGCCACAAGCTTATCAGACCCTGCAAGGCCGACAGTTTGTCTGCTGGCAAGCGGGCAGCTTGATTGATAGAATCAAATTCAATTCCCAATACTACAAGCACCGTTGCAGGGCCCTCACAGTTCTCAAATGGAGAACTAGGCCTGGCCATTTGCAAACTGCTAGCATGGAACTCATGTTGTGCACACAGTGTGGGAAGGGGGAGACAGCGGTCACGAAGTTATTCAGAGCAAAGCAAGACACAAAAGCGCCCTCGCGAAAGAGAATTAATAATTTAGTCATGTGATGTCGCCCGGAACACTCGAGGATCGTAAGCAGAGTCATTTGGCTTTGGTCATAACTCTTTCTTTCTATTGGTTTGGTCTCCGCACTTGCCTAGCAACAGTCATGACAGCGTCCCAACTGAGCTCAGCAGCGTGATGTCATTGTCAGCAGGCTGCACCGCTGCAATTTTGCTTCTGTCATAAATCTTTCTTTCTTTTGGTTTGGTATCCAAGATTGCCTAGCAACGATGTGGCGACTACGCTCTAACTGACTGATTTTTTTTTCCTGTTTTGGCCGACAAGAAATGATCCTGGCTAGAAATATTGACTGCAGAAGTACTTTCCAGAAAACATTGAAGCAATTTGGGCCAGTAGCTTCAAAATAAGAGCGAAAATCGAGATACAAGTGCATCTCACTTCGCAGACGAGTTTGAGTATGTCGCGCGATATGGTTCTCCAGGGTGTTTTGTTCAGTTTGGCTTTTTACCGTCGAAACCTCGTCTTTTTTTTTGAAATCTAGTTTGGAACTCAATTCACACCTTGGCCAACCCAAGTGTATTGGAGTCCTGGTTTCCTCGCCGATAGATCAAAGTTTCTGCTCTGTACTGCGGCAAAGGAACAATAATTTGCAAGCGAATTGTACTGTTGTGGCGGTTGCATTTTTTTTATATACATGGCCGCCGACATAATGCTAAATATGCTTCCTAATACACTTTTAAATAACACCATACAAATTGTAAAACAGCAGAAAAATAAGAGGAAGAACAAAGCAAGGACCTTCACGATGATGTTGGCAGTGAGTCGCCCAACCAGTTCCTTGCCCCGCCCGACAGGGCTTAACTTGAAGGGACGCTACTAAAACATCGAGTTTCGCGAGGGTAATTGCCAGATACGCATTTCTAATCTAAATAATGATGCAATGCAATTGAGTTAAAAAGCAAGGGGTAGAACGTTTGGACATTAAAAGCTTACCAGTCTCAAATTTGTTGCGGCTGCATGCTTGCTGGAGGCCCAATCGTACGCTAACCACACGCGGCCGGTGAACTGGCCACAGGTCCGCAAGATCAACAGCTAATAAAGTAAGAGATCCTTCCAGCAGTGGGGAAAAATAACGTCAGCACGAGACAATACACTAAAAAGGCCTCCAGCCAACCGCCAATATCGTCCATACGCCGATTTGGCTTTTTAGACGCTCTGGGCGAAGGAGCAACGGGCGATACCGGCGGCGAAAAAGTTGACACAAAGAAGGGACAACAAAGTTTGGCCTGGTAGCAGAAATTGGTGGGAAACCAAGACTAGACGCAGCCAGATCCAACGCTTGAGAATGCAAACGAACGTCGTGGGAACGCCCCCAGCCACGCTTGAGGCTGCCGGAACGCTCATTGTAGATGTAGTTTGTTCGGCTGAGAGCGCTGATTTAACGGCTGCGACCTCGGAGGCGCGGCCAAAAAGGCAAAGGACGGCACGTCCGGAACGCTAGTCAGATGCGATGGGCTCCCAAACATCGTTCGCAGTAGAAGGAGGAACTTCTGGGATGGCACCCGTTGTCAAAGTGGGCAGTAGTGAATCCAGCGGCAAAAACCGGCCGCAAGGCTGTTGTTTGTGTTACGTAGAGACATGCTGCGAGTAAAAACGGTGTGTAACGGCGAAGACAGCAAGAATCCGCAATGATTCGCAAGTAGGCAAACATTAGTGAGGTTAAGATCCGACGACGGCGAGATTCTACGACGGCAGACTTGGTCGAGGGGGCTTGGGGTAAGGTCGCCGTCACAATGGCGCGAAAAATAGCATTAAGAAAGCTCGCGCGACGGCGGGTTGTTGTAGCGCCTTTTCCTGTTGAAGTTTAGAAATAAATACAAGAGCGATGGCTACTGATAGAAAGGTTCGTGAATTATTACTGACAAGTTTTGATGATGGCGACATTTCAGAAGATGAATTTTTACTGTTGTATGATGTCAACAGATCTAAAAATTTGGATTTTCCCTACCAGAATTACGAACATTTTGAAGACTTCATCTCGACCTTGGAAACCAGTTAAATCGATTCACCGTTAAATCAGTTTAGATCTTTCTAACGCAAATCAAAGCGGTCTCAGTCATGTTTGTGTACATGTGTACATGTGCAATATGCCGCCTAATTCAAGCATAAACTAATCGTGATGTTGTATTTTGAGCAGTTTCGAGAGGCAAACGTTTCGTTCCTCCACGACGATGCATTTTTTTGCCTTACTGAAAGCTCTTGATTAAAATTACATTGTAAGAGAAGCCGAGTAAAAAAAAAACGCTATTTCGAGAAAAGATGAGTGACATAATCCATTGGACCTCAATTTAATGCCGAAACAAGTCTACGATATCATAATTGTTAATAAACACATCAATAAACACAAGAAAAAACTTGTAAAACTTACTGGGTTGCTTTCTTTGTCGAGTTGACCAAGTCCATGGCGATTAACGAGTCAAACTGTTTAGAGAAGGCAAACAAATTTAATTTAAATACCGTGTTCAAATCGTTTAAGTCGCTTAGAAATTCGACAAAAATGGTCTACTGAGAATAAACTGTTAACAGTGCTAAAGAATTTCGCTCAAAATGTGTTTAAATGGCATTATTTTGATCAAGTTTACTCACGTTTTACACGCGACGGCAAAATGGCCTTCTTCACGTCACAGACAAGGCCGCTACGGCGGGAAACTTCGCAACGACGGCAGCCGGAAGTCTTTCTAGCAGTAATTTCACTTCCGTTCGCCGTCACAGACGTCTGCCGTCGTCGGATCTTAAGCAGCGTATTGATCCGCTACGATCAGCAAGAGTCCGCAATGATTCGCAAGTACGCAAAAATTGATCCGCTACGATCAGTAAGCAACGGCGAATTCGGCAAGAATCCGCAATGATTCGCAAGAAGGCAAACATTGATCCGCTACGATCAGCAAGAATCCGCAATGATTCGCAAGAAGGCTAAAAATGATCCGCTACGATCAGCAAGCAAAGCTACAATGCAAAGCAACACTAGCAAAAGGGCACACAAGGAGCCCTGCAATTCCCCGCGGGCCGCCCCGTAGGTCACATACTGAAGTGGGAGAAGACCGCTGGCCATCTGGCTCGTGTTTAACTTTGCCTAAATGATATTTAGCCACATTAATAATAGTACCCTCTCTTGGAGCCAACGTATCATGAAGACAAGAGAGCAACTAGATTTGCCACTATTTCGTAAGATCTTAGTCCTTGAGAGTGACCACTTTGAGGACATCACATTGTCAAATGTTAATAACAATGCTCATGGGGTACTTCCCTGTAGGGTCCTCGTCGTACATTTGGGGGATCAGTGATTGTGGATGGTTAAGGTCAGAAATATATTTCTTGACCTTCGCTGGAGGGAGGTTGATATGTTGTCTGTAGAGCCGCAAACAAAAAAAAAACATGGAAATGAGGCAAGGGACTGGACGTCTCCGCCTCCTATACGTACCACCGCACTTAGATTTCTGGACGCTGAGTTATCACCAAAAGCTTCGACTTATTTACCCGGCCTCTGAATTTTGCGAGGTACAACTTACTCTGACTAAGGTGTGACGCCCTATAGAAATCCACAGGCTTTTACAGTGCTATCTTCTCTAGCGTGGGCCTTACAAGGATGATTTCGACTAGAAAATTCCCATTGGCAAGCAATGATGCGCGCCACACGTTTAGTAACACTAAAACATTCCAGTTCACTTAGTGAAACTTTAATAAATACTAGTGATAAATCTTATATACAAGCTCTTTTCACAAGATAACACTACAACTGATTAATTTACTGTCTTAACAACCTTCACTGGTGGAACAACCGTTGAGCTACAACACTCTGCATCAGCCTGCAAATGCAGTCGTTTATCATATCTCTTCGTTTTTAAGGACGTTTGCAAGAGAAACGGTGCGGCTGTATTCGCAGGCTGAGGCGCCATGTAACAGCTCTTCTAACCCTAAAAACCAATCGGTTAATCGTGGAACTGTGGGAAATAATGATAAACAATGATCTGTTATTGTTTTCTGCGACCAAGTGGGAAACACCTTACAAGCATGCAGCTCCTACATTACTCGCCGAGGCTAGCACAACTCGTACATACCATCAAATTAAGATCATGCGGTGAAGGCTGTAAGTTCTAAGTCCATCACGTTAAGTGGCCAGCGCTCCAAAGAAACGAAAAGAAATTCTGGCACAAGAATCTTTCTCCATCTTACCTTTTGGGCGCCTAAAAGCTTGGCTCAACATTGGAAAGCATGTGCGAATCGCACTCTTAAAAGGCTCTGATAGCATTTCAACAAACTCAACCGTGGTACAGGGGGACCTCGATTTAACGAAGTGCCAAGGGACTGGGGAAATGTGTTCGTTATATCGAACACCTCCATTTAACGAATTTTCAGGAAAACTACCATAATGTTCGTTATGTCGAGGTAAAGTTAATAATTAATTTACAAATCTAGCATTTCTGGATCTCAAAAATTACTGTAATGCCATTTCAGTGCTGAGCTATACATAGCTACAGCACTAGAAACTCAAGAACAGGCAGACAAAACTGCTTAAAACTACTGCGTACACATAACTTTTATCCTTGTTGCTCTATTTGGCATTCATCTTTTATCACATGCTGACATTTATTCGAGGTAAATTTTACCTTTGCGCTTGCGGATTGTGTTCGTTAAATTGAGGTTCTGTTCCATACATTTTACTGTAATTTTGGCCGGGCTGAGGAAAATCGTTCGTTATACCAAGGAGTTCGTTATATGGAGGTTCGTTAAATCGAGGTTCCACTGTAATAGACCTCTTTAATAATGTGTTTTGTTTTCCCAAAGTAGGTCATGTAATTACTCTAGAGAGTTGTTTCATTTAAATTTCGTCTTATTCCACTCCATATGTACGCATTAAATTTTGGAAACGACAAAGGGGTATATTACCATCAGACGTTCATTGGGAAAACCAACATACAAGCTTAAGAGGTCTATTAGATATTGAATGCTTTTAAGCATTCAATATCTAAAATGACGGGTCCGGAGAAAAACAGTTAATTTTGTTTCCCGAACTGAATTCGCTCTGTTGTCATTCGGCAACGAAATGACTGCCATGGCTTGCGCCTGCGAATCAGTGACATGACAAGTCGTTGATAATAAGATGAACAAGTATTTTTCTCCTGTAGGTCTACCTCCACACAATCTAGTTGAAAATTTTGCACTTCAGACAAATGTGGTGTAATGTACAAAATCAGAACATAATACAGTAATAAGCTCAATGCATTTCTACCTGACTTACTCCTTAATTTTCCTAGTACAGAATTTATTATCTCGGCGGTTCTCTGTCACGGTGGGCGCCTTCAAATTCACAAGTAACCTTTGACTTATTTCTTGAACTTTTCGATAATTCACCAACTTTATTCCTGCTAAAACGTCTTCCATGTCTTGTATACTTCCTGCAGGTTGACCACATACGTTCTATGGTTTTGCATCATGATCGTCAATTGTGCAGCCAACGCTTGGCGTGCTTACAATACTTGTTTCCTTCAAGAAGTGCTCCCTTAACAGTATTGCTCATTATAGTTTGACAAATAAAACTCATTCTAATCAACGCTTAAAACGCTACCACGAGATTACTCATTTTGAGGTTACTATGCAGTAAGCTTGAAGTTAATGACCGGCGTAATATACTCATTGTGAGCTTGGTGTGTCGAAGAGCAATTGCTCATCTGTTCGTCATGTTGAGCGCCTGGACGAGTAAAAAAGCTTCAAGAGTTCGTAAAATTCTGTCTTCAAGTTAGCCATAGTGCTAATTCCAAACATTCGAAGTCAAAATGAAGACAGCTTATCGTCCTATGAAAGCTTCAAAATCAAAACATCGAAAGCTCTGGGTACAATGCACGCTCAGAGCTTCTTTATCGCGCGATCGATCTACGACTGTTGTTGTTTCGATATCAGGCGCTTTCGTGCGGAGCCCACTGATTACGAAACTGTCCACACCTGAGTGACACATTCTCATATCGCAGTGCCCACAACAACTCGTTTCTACGCTACACGTAATCCACGAGTTAAATGTCTGGCTACGCTTTTGGTAAATATCAAGAATTAAAAGGTTCATCTTTATAACAGCTCATTGACGATTCACTTAATGACGTAATATAAAAGTAGTAAACCCACACTAATAAAGTGCGGTCAAGATTCCAATTCGTGCATTTTATACCAAATGGTTATAACGTGAAAATGAAGCAAATAGTGTATCTTGCTTGAAAGCGAGATAAATTAGCGCGACGGAAAAACTACCCGCCATTCTCGATTTTGTCCAACAAAACTTGAGGACTGAAACCAGATGAAGAACTTGATTAGGGGAATAGTCATGGACGTTCTGCCGTGCAAGTTATGGGATATTGTCCTGGAGGAAACGGGTCAAACGCCGGAAAATTTGCTTGTAGAACAAAATATCCATAATGGCTACATGAATGCAGGCCGGATTTAAAGTGTTGAAAAGGCTCATCATGAGGAATAAATTTGCTGTCAAGCAGTCCAGGTCGTTTGAATGGGTTCACTATCTGGCGAGCACGATTATGAAGCTCTTTACATTTCTTCATTTCACCCAATCTCCAGTACAGGTCACTGAAATTATACAACACTGCTGCTATCAACGCATGTTCTTTTCCGGAGACTCTTTCTCTGATACGCAATGCTTCTTCAAAGCATTCCTTTGCTTTCTCAAGTTGACCATTGTATTGATAAGCAAGAGCAAGGTTATTACATGAATCAGCTATCACAGCATGATCATAAAAGAAGAGCTTCTTTCTCATTTCGAATGCCTTTTCCAGATATTGAATTGCCTCCATCTTGAGGCCAATTTTGCTATGCAAAATTCCAAGATTGTTCAAAGAATCTGCAACACAGGGATGTTCTTCGCCATAAATCCTTTTTCTAAGAGCATGTGAACGTTGAAAAAACTCCTTTGCAGTTTCTAAGTCACCCATCACATAGTGAATGGAAGCAACATTCGAAAGTGAAGCTGCAACTTCAGAATGCTCAAGACCGTACAGCTTTTTTCTCATGTCAAGGGACTGCTGGAAGTAACACTTTGCTTTTTCCATATATGAGTTGTCATCGTAGTCACATATAGCCAAACTAGAAGGCTCGAGACCGTATTGCTGCATCACGTAATCTCGTCTTCCACGTTGTCTATCGGCAATTTCCTTGTAAGAAATTGTGTAGTAGAGTGTTCCCAGTTTACTCAGTGAGTCTGCAATTTCTGGCAGACATGTGTTTGGTGGGTGTAGTGCCCTGAGAGTATCTAGAGCACGCTTGTAGTACAGTTCAGCCTCTTCATACTCGCCATTTTCATGAAAAATCAGACCTTGATTGTTTAAAATAGTGGCAATAAAATTTATCTGCTTTTTATCGCCACTGTCGTAGCCATCTTTAGCTATTTTCAAGGCTTTATGGAAATAATCCCAAGCCTCAGACAAGAAAAAATGTTTCCTACAAATATCCCCAAAACTGAAAAAAGTACTTGGCAGTGCATTTCTTTCACTGCTTTTCGCCAAGACTAATTTCCAAACCGGAGAGGGCCGATGACAAAGGGTTTTCAAGTGAGGAGCCATCATTTTTGAAGTCATATGAAAGTTCAGGTCAAAATCAAGAGGGTCATGTTGGGCAGAGGTGGACAGTATTTCAATGTACAACAGAATTAATTCTGCAATCTGCTCATCACTATACCTATCAAGAAGGTACTTCTGAAAGACTTTGTGGACAACTTGGTGCATCTTAACTTGTACCTTTGAACAGTCAACAGGGCAATGTTGCATTAGCAGGGGGCATTTCACGATTTTTGCAGCTGCCAAGTCTTTATCGCAATCTGGATCATGTTCTATAAGATAACGGACAATTAAATCCACGTGTACAGGCGTTGGTGCACCCATGGCAAGAAATGGAGCCACGTGTTCAAAACATGGCTCCTGAACCAGTTTTTCCGATGCCAAGGTGACAGCAGCAGTCATTGAAGGTCGATAAGACCTGCTTGTCCATTCATAAACTTTCTCTGTGGAAGCTCGCTTTTCCAATGTTTCTAATTTCCTCAGGTATTCTTTCCAAACGTTACTCGAACTTTTCGTATGGCTTACTCCAATGTAACGAACATAAATTGCAGCACAGGCAATAGCCAAAGGTTGATAGTCTAAAGCATTCAGGACTAAGGACTCTTCTTCACTATCACAGGCAAAACAACAAATTTTTCGAAGTAGAATCCGAGCATCTTCAGACTGCATTCCCTTACTAAGAGAAACACTTTCACAAAGAGGATCAGCTTCAGGTATGTTAATACTGTCCTGGGTAGTAACAAGAACATGTCCACAACCTCCCCAATGCTCACCAGGCAAGTGATCTCCACAACGCAACCAGTCATTTGTAGACCCTGACAAATCTTTAAGCTCATTAACATTGTCATATATAAGAAGCCAGCTGGAATAGTTTTCCATTTTGGCAGAAACAAGAGTTTTTAGATGACAAATCTTTTCATCGGGCAACAAAATGGAGTCCCCTCCGGTGATGCTGTTAAGGGAATATTCGGTGACACCAACCTTGAGGGCAAACTTACAGTAAGAATCTAGCAAAGACTGCTCGCTTTCAGCATTAAAGGTCATCACAAGGGTGCAACTATCACAGTCATTCGTAGCGGCTTCTCTTTCAAAAAATTGCTTACCAACTTCTCGAGCAATTTGACTTTTGCCACATCCAGGATTACCAGAGATATAAATCGTAGCCACAGAAGCATCCTTGTTGTTCGTCTGGAGATCTGAGAACTTCTGCATGATGTCTTCAACTTCCACCTTCCTTTCGACAACCGCATGTGATGGCGCTTGTGGAAGAATCATGAAAGGTTTAGGTTTACCTTGTATTTCATCTTCCAAGATCGTCACCTGTTCTTGAAGCTTCTGAAGTTCCTCGGTGGGAAAACCTTTTTGGTTGATTATCCTCTGCAGCTCTACAGCGGAAAGATGAAGGGACGTGAATGCATTTAACACTTTAGATAAACATCTCTGATACTCTGCTTCAGGGAAAGAAGCTTTAGAGCAATGTGCAAATACTTCATTACGGAACTTTCGCAAATCGTCTACATCTTTAGCGACTGCTGGACTTATTACATACCCTAGGGTGTCAGAATAGAGAATTGCGAAGAAAAAACATGTACAATCCCATTCTTCTGTGTTTCCATTTTGAATGATAGTCAAGAGTCTTGAATTTTTTGAACGACTCTTTCCTGATTCCATTCTAAAGAAATCCTGCCCATTTCTTGCAGTATCTTGCCATAAACCAAACCCAGGACTGTGGTGTCGGTCCCATTCACGTTTAAACAGTTCTTTAAGACCTTCCCTGATGATGTGGGTGGTGATGTAACAAACACGGAAATAATTCAGCTCCTCTTCGGTGTATTCTTTGTTGGCCATTCTTCAAATCCAACGTCCAAGGACTGTTTCTAAAAAACAAAACAGCTTTAAATGATTAAAATTATTTCTGCATAAATGATCTTCACGTTGTCGTCACGTAAATATAAATTTAGCAGCACGTTTTCAAGTTCGTGGAGACTAGTAAGCTTTAGGCCCAAAGTTATCAAAATAAGCTTCGTAAAGCCTGGAGACTAGAGCATTTTTTGTTCATATCAGATATTTCATCACAGGGTAACCACTTTGGTATAAACGGGTTTCTTTTCGTCGGGTCACAAACTACGGATAGACTTCTAACTGGTATGCTCTTAACATCAGCAGAGCATACATCAGGGCTCAAAATAACGGCCGGTCAAGATAACCATTTGTCTGGACAAACTTTTTGTCTTCGAAAGTTCCCCGCAAGAAACGGATAATTTTATCCCTATTATGCTACTTAAGTGACAAGAAAGAATATATAATAATAAATAAGAGAAATATTCCTCTATTCTAGACCTCAGAGTTAGCGACAATATTGTTTCATATGGTCAGAAATGACCACACTAGTCAGGCAATTAAGGCAAATGAATTATATGATTTATAATAATATATATGTTATAGGTCCAATTTTATCCTTGGTTTAAATTATATTTTCCTTTGTTTCAAACTCACTATCATACATTACCATACCCAAAAGCAAAGGAAAATAAAAATTGAAACCAAGGATAAAATTGAACTCCAAATATGCATACAAATTTCAAAACTCGTAGCAACAATTTGTATGCTAAATGTCTTCGCTAGAGCAGATAAAAAAACCTTTTTTGGTGAGAAAAATACATGTCTTACAATATAACGTATCAAGAGGACGACAATCGTTTTTCACAGTCCCAAAATATTTTGCCCCCAGTTTATTATATGAAGCAATCTCAACAGTTGTGACCTACATAGTGAACAAAGTTATACCTTAGTGGTCATAGTGTGGAGGAAGGAAAAAAAGCACAAGGAGATAGGGGGTCCTGACCCCACCCACCCTCCCCCTGGATTACCACTAGTTCCAAGTACTGCACCTCTAACCCAAGGAAGCATAATTTTTCCATTTTTGGCACGCTTGAAAGTGACTGAGCCTTTATTTTCAAAACCCTAAGTGCTAGTTCAGCCAAAAATCAAACTTGGAGCTTATCACTCCAAAGGCTGGTAACCAAGCAACTGAGCTAGCCAGCAGGGTTGAATTGATTGAATTGACTGATACATGCGAATAACAAATACAATGAATAACTGCCCTTGACCTAAGGTGATAAAATAATAGTCCCGGAATTATTGTTTAATGGCAATGAAAGACAAAATATGAAGAAAAAATATGTTGGCACTACTCTACAGGAAAACATCCAGATTCGAAAAAGCGTGGCGCGCTTAGTCATATATCAGGTAGTTTTTCATCAAGGCCACCACATTTTGCAACCACTAGGTTGTTTTGCTTAGCTCTTCAAGAATTTGCAAAGGATAGATAATTCATTATTTCAGTTGATTTCTTTGAATAATGTAAGGTCACTTGACAGTACCAGATAGAACTGTTTCGAACAGAACTTGTTTTGTCAGACACAAACCAGCTACAGGGTTGAGAGACTCCATATCATATCTGATATCACATATCTGCTCGATGCAATCAGACCAGAAATTAAGTACAGCAAAAAAATTTAAAAGAAAGTAACTAGTCAAAAGCTTAGCGTGTTTTTAAGAAACTTATCACCAAAATCTTTCAATTATCTGAAAAACTGAGTTAAATTTATGTTCACCTTATTTTAAGGGTTTCAATGACTGATCAAAACTTAACAATTGTTCGCTGGATCACTGCAGCTCATTGATCACTCACTCATCGGAGCTCATCACGCAGCTCATCGATCACTCACTCATCACTCATTGATCACTCACTCAGCTCATCAGATCACTCACTGCAGCTCATCGATCAGCACTGAACCTCATGGCTGCCAAAATTACCCAAGACCATCTGAAAACCTCTTCTTTTGTTACGGTCTCTTTTATTACACTATCACCATCAAAAATTGTCATAAAAATGTTAAAAAAAGTTATTTAAATTGTTAATATTGCAATAATAAAATCATTATTAGTAATTATTATTAACATTATTATTAAATCATTATTAAAATTTAAGAATGGGCCCTTTTGAAATGATCAATAAAACTCAAACCATTTGCAAAGAAATTTTCATCACGAACCTACTTTTTGCTTTTAAATTTAATGTTATAATGACCAGTTTCGTAAGAATTTATCAGGCCAATCTTGAAGGCCAAAGTCAGGCTGATTGTTGTGTTTGATCATGTGCCCGTGGGCTGTGATGAATTTATTTACAATTAGCATTGTATAGTGTGTCCCACATTCAACCACTCTGTTTATATTAAGCCTTTCCACACACTAACGCACACTCATGTTTCACCAGAGCACAGGCAGACCATCCTCTGTTTGTGTGGCCATTGTTGTTGGTGAAATCTGAGCATCGGTCTTTTGTAGTCAATAGAAGAAATACAGATAAACATTATGGTGGCTACAATTTACTCCAAATACAGATTTGAACCTAAATAATCAAGCAAAGCTCAAGCTAAATGATAACTTGGTCATCTGTCATGTTTTTTTGCCATCCCAAGCTGCATACAGAGTTATTTTGATAGACAATTATTTGAATTTGAAGACTACGTTTAATATTCTAAGGATTTCATGGGTTTCAGTTTATTTGTGATCATGGGCGACATGGGGTGGTGTTGATGTAAGAAGGTAACACAAAACAGACTGTCTCCAGATCAGGGGCACCCAACGAGAATATAGTTCAAAACCACTTAAACATAGCATTGTTAAACGTGTTTTAGTATTTAAACAGTGGATATGGGCATATGTTTATTCCCTATAAATTTTTCATCTGTTCGGATTTCCTAGCTGAAAGTCTAGTGATCCGAAAATTATAGGGATCAAAACATACGTTTTCGAAAATTTCAGCCAGAAAAAAGGCTCCCGAAAATTTTAGGTGACCTTTTTAGGGTAAAAATCCGTTGAAAATGGGCAATTTTACCATTTTTTAGATGTTCGAAAATCCTAGGAGAGGCAGGCAAGCAAGAAATTTTACAACAAATGTTCCGAAAATTCTAGATCTCAAAGCGTCTTCCGAACAGATATTTTGACGAAAATTGTCGTTGGGTGCCCCTGCCAGATTTTAAATCTCCGAAGGCTGGCATCTATGACACTGACTTTTTTATTTCACTTCATTCCAAACGAAAATGTTTGGCAATTTCAAGGTTTTTTGGGTCGCTGTGGCTAAATGGCCGGTTACCGGTCAAGGTGCTAAATGGCCGGCAGTCCCATATTCTCGGTAAATCGAAAGATTCTAGCTAATCTAAACTGTCATATGTCGATCAAGACAAGTCAAGCGATCCTGAAATGCTTTATAGATCTCAAGTCTAGGGTTGGTTTACGCTGGGCTCAGAAGACGAAACCGTGTTTTGTGACACTTGGAACTTTTTTCAGCTCGAATGCCAGTCAAGATTTTCAAAACACTAAATGGCTGGCAGTTCTATATTCTCAGTAAATTTCACAAAATCGCAAAAATTCCAGCTAATCTAAACTATCATAATGTCGATTAAGACAAGTCAAGCGATCCTGAAATGCTCTATAGATCTCAAGTCTAGTAGTGGGTTTACACTCAGTCAGTGTAAAACGCAGACTGCGGCCTGCGGACTGCAAACTGCGGACCAGGGGTAAAATGCAGACTGTGTACAAAATCCAGACTGCAGACTAAGAGTAAAATGTAAGCTGGGGTAAAATGCAGACCGAGCATAAACTGAAGTCGTGGAAGGGTTTAACTTAAAGGGTAAAAAAATCCCGCGAATACATGTAAACGAACAATTACTTGACGACATCTGCTTTCACAAATCCATTCCTTTCTTCTCTGGAACGTCGTAGACGACCCGAAAACATAATAGCAATCTTGAACCTTTTTTTCCATCCGAGAGACCTCACGTTTCAACTTTAGACACAAAGTTTTCTATACAAGTCATCAGGAATTGGTACAACACATATACAACACAACTATGTTCACACTTAAATAAAAGCTGCTGACCCAAAATACTGTACAGAAAGAATTATGGCGATAAAAAAGGGAGTAAATCATTCCAACAACAAAGACAGATGTTCTGCAGGAAATTTGGATGACCTTCTATGGAAGTATTGCAAATCAAGGTACGCAGACTTGAGCTGTTCGGATGTTCATTGAAACTTCTGGCAAATGTGCAATGTACTTCGACTAGCAAGCGAGGTGTGTAACTGATACCAGCTAGCTATTTCACCTATTTGAAGAAGAAGGAGTACAAATGTTTAAAAAGTCTGCAGTCTTCATTCTGCATTTTGCACCCAGCCCGCATTTTACTCTCAGTCAGTAGTCTGCATTTTACCCCTGGTCCGCAGTCTGCAGTCTGCAGTCTGTGCTTTACAATGACCGGTTTATGCTGGGCTCAGATGATGAAACCATGTTTTGTGACACTGGAATTTTTCGATTTTGTGAAATTTACTGAGAATATAGAACTCCCGCCCATTTAGTGTTTTGAAAACCTTGACCGGCAGTCGAGCTGAAAAAAGTTCTAAGTGTCACAAAACACAATCTCGTACGGTGGCCCGTAAGGGACATTACAATTTTTTTTGCTTAAGTTATCGAGTGATAATTCAAACTTATCGCGCGATAAGTTAAAATTGTCGCGCAATAAAATGAACAGTTATTGCACGATAAAGGAAAATAATCGCGCGATAAGTGAGAAAATTATCGCGTGATAAATTTGTATTATCGCACGATAATTAGTCAGTTTATCGCGCGATAAATTGCAACATATCACGTGATAAAGAGAAGCCTGACTCACACTTTCCACCCAAGTGTTTATAGCCTTTAATTCTCAGAGTTTAGCTTTTACGAGTATATCTTTGAATTGAGAGACCTTCCTCGTTTGTACGATATAATTGGAGGTTCTTTG